GGGGAGCGGGATGCCGGGTCGGATCCATCATGATCTGGATCTGGAAGGTCCGCAGTAGGGCCCTGCCAAAATCCATGAGCTGATCGGTGGGATCCCGAGCTATCTCCAGCGCGCGCCTGCACGATACCAAACCGTCAAAGGCAACTTGAACCTGAGCGTCCATTTAGTGCCAATAATAACTGTATGCGCATCGGGGGTCGACGAAGAGGACACCGGAGACGCCCTCGTTCCATATACGCGGGAACCAAGTGGTGACGTCGAACGCAAGAAAATGCAGTAACTGATTCTCTGGACCGGAGTCATCTTCCAAGGGGGAAGCGCGGGAGGGCAAAGGCATCGAGTGAGGGAGGTGTGGCCTCCCCACATTGCCCTGAGACGTTTGAGTGTTGACCCGCCGTCTCTCTCCCGTGAGAGTGCGTTGGGGAAACGTGGATGCTGGCACACCCCCAGCCATCAAACGATGCGGTTGGTGTGGCCGTGTGCTGACGCCATAGTCGCGCATGCATGCGTGGGGGCTCATCTGGCGGCCCTCTCCGAGAGGTGGGCGCTTCTCGTTGGCACGGCGTCTTCGCGTCCCGCAAGAGGACCGCCGGCCACCGTAATGTGACATTCGCGCGCCGACAAGTAATTATGCGCCTCTTCCACCTGCGAGTAAAGCTGCGCACGCCGATTCCGAGCGTCGGCGACGGCGCTGGCGTGGTCGGTGTTCTGTCTCCGCTCTTCCAGCAATGGTCAGCCCTTGCTGGACCCACAACCCCCGGGCAGCCCGCACACGATGGGCAGGAGCAACTGAGCCTCGAAATTTGACAATTGAGGCGTCCGGAGACTCGCAATACGTCCCGCAATACATCGCATCCTCCCAGTGCTTGGCGATGGTTCCTGAAACCAAGCGGAGGCCTGTCATTGTTGCAGCGACGGCCCATGCCCACCAATAAAAATAAACTGCACCTGAATATCGCCTCACTGACGTACAAAGTCCAACAGGCGGGCGCCGATTTGGCACCACTCCGTCGTCTTATGAAAGAAACCACTGCAATTTCTTTATGTCAAGATGAATAAATCGGGCGTGAGTGTAAAAATAAAAATAAAAATAAATGATTTCTTCTTACCACCATCGGTTCCCGGATTCCTTCAATCGCAGTCAACCAAAATTTCATAAAATAGGGAAAAAGTCATACAGAGATATATTGGTTTTCTCAGGAAAAGTGTATATATACATATATAATTGGTTAGGTAGCCAATGTACCTCGTGCAAACATTATTTTCACGCGCTCCCAGAAAAGAAAAAAAAAGAAAAAAAAAGAAAAAAAAAACCACCACCACAAAAAGGCAAATGTTTAAAATTCTCTGTAAGCCTTATAAGGCATGTAGGCAATGGATAAGAAAAAAAGGGGTAGATACATTCCATGCGTACCGAATGCGCACGTCATGTAGTTCGACGCAAAATATGAGTGATGGATGGAAGGTGAAGGAGAAATGCAACTGGGGGATAACTCGCCAAGAGAGCCGCTCCAATCGCCATGAAGAGAACAATTAGCAATTGTGTATAGGGAAGTGCAAACGGGATCTCCAGTTGCGTAAAGAGATAATTCTGAAGCTGCATACTGTATCCTATCGTCAAGCCCACAATGATACCCACAATGCCGGAGGCAATGACAACAACAAACGATTCCCATATGAAAATTCTGTAGATCTGAAATCTAGTCATACCAATGCAGCGATAAATCCCAATTTCTTTAGTTGATTCGGATATATTTGCCGTCATGCTAGAAAGCAAAGAAAAGAAACAGATTGCCAGCGTCACGACTTGTACAAATATAAAAAAGAAACCAAGTGTACGATCTGCGATACCCAAATACTGTGCTGTTCTGCCGTCGTCACGAACAGAAGTCTTGGTAATGCGGCGGCGTCGAAGATATTTTTCAATTACCCGGGAGACATAATTGACGTAACGAGAGTCTGGGACTCGTAGACTCACGGTGGATATCTTGATGCTGCGAACACTTAAATATTCCACCCCGCTGAAACGCGTCAAGGAAGGATATGAAGTCAACACAACACCATCCATTTCACGAAACTTTGTCATGGATACTTGGGGAGCTGCATCCAGCACTGCAGATGGCTTTACGGCATGACGCACATTCTCGACGGATCGTTCCTTTGCATCCGTCATTATAGCCGTTACAAGCATTTCAGGATCCTCAAGAGAGCTGGATTGAAGCGTCGAAAAGACAGAGCTAGATACAATAATCTGATTCCTCTTTTCCGTATATACAGCACCGGAGATGGAATATTTTCGACTTTCTTTGTTGTACTTTTTCACCAACAAAAAATCCTTATTTAGAGCATCGAGGTAATTGGGTGATATCGCAACGAGCGAATTAATGAAAACCCCCTGATAACGCCCGGGCGAATACAATGACACATTCTGAATGTTGAAATCTGCAGTGACCGTATGGGAAAGATACGTCACCGCTGAGACTTGAGGGAGAGCCGCCTTTATAAAATGTGACATTCTGGAAAACGTAAACAAGTCCAGGCCCTCAAAGTCAACCACCACCTCCGCCCCCATCGATCTCCGGATGCCGTACTGAAACGATCTCAGTTGAACTTGAAAGGCAATGGTGATGAATATAATAAAACCGAGAGAAAAGGCGTACATCAATGTCGTTTTGCGGTTCCGTTTTCGATGAGCCACCAGACAATTCTGAAAAGCCCGGAATACGGCAGCTGATTCCCAGAAAAAAAAGATGTATGATGAAACCGTTTGAAGCGTCCTCTCAAAGTTAAGCGACAACAGCACCATTCCCGCTAGCATGCCAATCAAAATACCAAAGAATATGTAGAAAAGCAGCCCAAGCCGCATGTGCATCAAACCAATAGGGAAAAAGTAATG